ATAATTTATGGCCCAAGCGGCTCCGGTAAAACCTCTCTGGTAAGCTTTACTGTTTATAGCAAATACGGAGTCAGAAAGTACACCTCACTGGGAACCAAGGATTGAGAGAGGGCAAGAGGGCGGCTGGGGCGTTTTTACTTTTCTGCTTAGCACTTTGCGAAAGTAATACAGCTGTGTGAGGAGAAGAGCCAGATCGATCAGTAAAATTCTTTCTGCGACAATGAGGCATTTTTCTGCGTTTTGTCTTAACAGTGCAACAAAAAGGCATTATGGTCAGTTCACGTCTAGGTGCATGTATTGTATTTATATGTTTCTTTGACGACGATTGAGCTCCAGAAGCTAGGAAGTTGAAGTTTTGAGCATATCTCTGTCGTTCCGCATAGATCAGCTAAAACTCGACTGGGCTCTACCACACATATTGTACTAGTTTATGGGCTAGAAGGCGACAAACTCGTAATTGTGCACATTTCTTGGGTTTTTCTGTCCAGTTGAGCGTGATGCACGAGCTTACCAGCTTGAACTGAGCGGCTAGTTTCTTACTGAGCAACATTATCTTATATAATCCCACTCTACTCCGTATTCCGCTGTGCTTTTTCCAGTTCCTGTTGTTTGAAGGCTGGCCTTAACTGACTATACTTCGAGACAACTCTTCGTGAAGGGGATATTTTAAAAATGAAATTGGAAGTGGTTCTGGGTCGCCGGAGTTTTAAGAGTAGTACTTTCAAGCTTGACTCAGATTGGATTAGTGGTTTACTTTCGACGCAAAGGCGCGTCGAAAGTGTCGCAATAATTTTCCGGGAAAATGAAAAAAAAAAACATTAAAAAATATCATTTTCCAATAGAAGCACTTTTCGTTGAGCAGTTACCGAAAGCGATTGTGTTACACTCTCTCATCGTTAAGGTGTATGCGCTTGCTCGACGCTATGGCATGCACGTTCTGGAAGTGGCATCGAATGAGAAGAGAAATGGTGCGCAGCTGAAGTCAAAATTACAGGGAGCAGCACACTCACACAAGGTTTGCATTTATTCGCTGGAATTTTCTGGAACCGTGCCAAGTGAGGTATTAAATGGTGTAATCTGATGTTTGCAGTTTTCTACGGCCACGACTGCAAATCACGTTTTTCCGTTGGTAGCGCGAAAGAACGAGCCAGCAGTGGTGGACTCGCTTATCCTCATTGACGACGTAATCTTTATGCTTTTTTTTTTCCATAATTTGTGCTTTGAAAGAAGTAAATTTTCTCATAATGATGAGCTAGGGTAAGCTGATTTCAGCCAAATTGTAAGATTCATCGTCTTACATTAAAGGTATTATCTATTTCACCCGTATACACTGGCTTTTTTTTTGCATTTTATTAGAATAACGCAGCGAGTGGCTTAGAAGCTCACGAATTCATTTTCTTGTCTTCTCTGTTTTCATCATCAGTTTCTGGGCTACAGTCCTCCTTCACCTACACAGATTTCCTTTTTTTTTGCTATTTTCTACTGTTTTTTCGCTTTTGCATGCATTATTTTTATGCTAATGTGAGTTTTTGTCATTTTTAGTGTGATGTCGTTTACGATGAACAAGACGATGGATTTTGGTACACACTGAAAAGTCTGTGCCGAGAGGCGCGCACACCTATCATTCTCACTTGTGAAGGTCAGTACCCATTGTCGACCGTCTTTCTCTGGAGTATTTTTATGTATAATTTATGTCCACCAGGTATTTGCCAGTCATTGTTTTCGTCTGTTTTTGATCCACAGCACGTATTTCAGATGTTGATCTTGTTCGTCGGGAGTTGGGCGCAGGCATATCATTTCTCACATGCGAACTATCGAGACCTCAGTCTGATGCTGCCGCAGGACAGCTAAAAGTTGCTTTCTTTGCAGTTTTTCTCAAACTAACAGTTTGTTATGATTAGTGGTACGTCATATCGATTAATTCGTTTTGCTCAAGATTGGTATTTTTGGGATTTGCATCCAATTTTTTCAGTTCCGTTGTAAAATTTGATGGTTGACTTCCTGCCTGAACTAACTTCTGGTGTATCTAGTACTTAGTTGTGCACTCATCCCGATCTAGCTTTAGTGCGTTTTCGGCTTTTTTTGCCGAATTTATGATTTTTTCTGTGTCACTTTTTTCTCGATTTTCAAATATTGCGTCCTATTGAGTTAATTTATCTCCTTTTACCTCTCCACATTTGTCTTGGTTAAATTTGCTTATCACTTTCAGCTTCTATGTGATGCGGCCAATCTGAATGTATCAGCAGCTGTTTGCGCAGCCCTAGTCGAAGAATACAAGTGTGACTTGCGTGCCTGTATTAATCATCTCCAGTTTTACAATGAATTTTCTTCACAAAAGGTATACCTTCAACGTCTCTCACGACTTAAAATTTCTAAATACAATATTTTGGATTGCATCAGCCAAAACCCGGTTTATTATGCGTTTTGCGCTATGTAACGGCAGCACAGGACAGTATTGTCACGCCTCTGTTTGTCTGTATGTTGGTGTGTATGCGTCCGTGTGCATTTTGTCCTACAGCTTCAATTCGAGAATCCCAAAAGCTGGGAAGTTAAAATTTTGATAGGATGTTCTCCACCTTTTGATAGGATGTGCGACTCGCAAATTTAAATTCAGTCCTCACGTGCCACGTACAACCCCGCGAAACTTCCTCCAAGAAAAATTATCTCGGGAGCCACGAAAGTAGAAATTTTAGATTAATGCAAACGCACTGCCCGCAAATTTAATTTGAACTTTCACATTGACCTGGGTCTCACGTACGACTTCACGAAAGTTTTAGCGAGAAAAATTATCTCGGGAGCTCGAAGAACTGAAGGTTGAAGACTTCAGGAGGATGCCTTCTGCCTGTGCAGGAGCCTAACAAACGCAATCTTAGCTTCCAAGTGTGACAGAGTCTTATGCACGACCACGTAAAAGTGTTGACACGAAAGCTGGTCAGAAGCCAGAGAGCTAGGAAGTCAAAATTTTGGAGCGATGCTCACCGACCGGGGTTTTAGACTCGGCTTCCACGTTTCAAGTATCGGTAGTTGGGATTTTTAATGGGAAATTTTTCAGCTTAGAAAACAAACAGAAAGACAGTGAAAATTTCTAGCAGGCAAACGCCCGCTGAATGGAGCTGCGCAAAACGCATGATCGTATCGGTTACCTTGATGCGCGGTACTATTTATTCTTATTTAGGTGCTGGAGCAACAGTGGGAAAGTGTCGAGCAAACACTTATCACGCATAAAAAACATTTTTCAATTTCATACAATGTTACGGTGCGGAGCGATCATTCTTACGAACAAGTTTCGAGTGTAGTGCAGACCGAAAGGTATGTATTTTTTATGCGTTTTTTGCAGCTATGCTATGCAGAAAACGCATATTGACGAGGGGTTGTCTGTGTGTCCGTGTGTCTGTGTGTGCGCCTGTCACGCATTTTCGTCTCAAGACCTATAAAAGCTGCGGGGCTGAAATTTCGGGAACTTAATCTACAGGCACGTGTCGACCCCAATCCCCAGAATGAACGCCAGTACCCGCGTGGTACCCGCGTACGGGCCCGCCAAAATTTTTGTCGTGTAAGTTCATGACTTCGGGATCTGAGAAGCTAGAACGCTGAAATCTTAGGGCAATGTTCCCCGTCCAAGTAGGTATTAACGAGTTCAAACCCTGTCCGCGGGCAAGCGTGGTACCTGTGTACGGGCCCTTGAAAATTTCTTCCAGGTAAGTTACTAACTCAGGAAAATGAGAAGCTAGAGGACTGGGATTTTGAAGGGATGTTTCCCAACGGTCCTGGTGTCAATCTGAAATTCTTTTAGCTAGAAGCATCTGCCAGAAAAACCAATGCCGTTAGCGACAAAAATCTGCAGGGAGCTATAAAAAAAACGCATCTTCGCATGGGCAGCCCATGCGTTGGCCAATTTTTTACTTCTACTTTGTCCTTAGGTGAGGTTGAAAATTTGCTGAAATCGGCAGTTATTTTTACTTTGCTAATTCCACTATTTCTTTTAACTGAAAATAATTTGTAATTTCAGAGAAGATGAATTTGAAGTGGAATTTGAGAAAACAACTGCGCACGAAGCAGTGAGAGTTACACGCATTGTGTTACCTGCGACTGAATATTTCCCGTTGTCAGGTTAGTACTATTTTAAAAAAAAAAGTGCTGAATATCCTTTTTCCTTACAAACTGGAAAATTTGGGATGCATTAGAATGACTGAATATCCTTTTTCAGGGAACCCATTAAATTTGATTTTCTTTTAGATTCTTACGTATTTTCCATTCTTGTTCCTCAGCACTCTATTTGCAGATGTGGTACTTGACTATGTGCCGTACTTATACATAATGAACGCATCATCGCTTGCTAAAATAGCAGTTGCACGACGTGCGCAACATTATTTTGATAATTTTCGTGGTGATTCACAACTGGATCCCAGCGGATCGATGAGGGCTTCCTTACAGCTTTATTCTTTCAAATCTTTCTAATTTTTCTCAAACTTCTTTTTATTTCATTTTTCACTTTAATACGTTATTTACGTTGCAAAATGTGTTTTTTTTGAAAGCCTCTTTCTTTCCGTCTGAAGAGTTGAGTGTATCTCTCAGTGTGGAAGAAACAAGTTTCGTTCAGACTCATCTTATCTGTGCACTGCCATGTGTGGTCACGTATCTGCCATACAGTTTTTTCCATTTAGCAGGTCTCACAAAGCTGTTTTTGTTCTGGATGTTACCTCGGAATAGATGTAAAGTTCGTGTTAACAATATTTATAATATTTATAAATAGCAACGCGCACTAGACTAGCCGGTGCGATCATGCGTTTTGTGCAAATCAGCCCATCGAACCTATTAATGATTTTCACTGCTTTGTACTTTTGTCTTTGCAAAAATAGTTCAACAATTGGAAAATAGTTAAAAATTTCATCCTGTTAATGATTTTCACTGCTTCGTACTTCAGTCTATGCAAAAATAGTTCAAACATTGGAAAACATTTAAAAATTTCACGCACCTGCGCATGAAAGCTGAATTCGAAACCTTGAAGGGTGAATATCTTTCCGTGATTCCCGAGTTAATAGTTTTACCGCCAAAATTCTCACGAGGCCGTAGGTGATACTCAAAAGCGAGGGAACGCTGAATTTGAATAGGCAAGGTTGAGCGTGGGTAGGGGATCATTACCCTAAAATTCCAGCCTCCTAAGCTCCGTGGCTCCTGAAATATTAATTTACCCGTAAAAAAATTTCACGGGGTAATGACTGTAAAAAAATTTCACAGGGCCGTACGTGTTACCCGCGGGTGCGGGGAAG